TGATGATGATGATGATGATGATGATGATGATGATGATGATGATGATGATGATGATGATGATGATGATGATGATGGTGGTGGTGGTGATGGTGATGGTGATGGTGATGGTGATGATGATGATGAATTACCGCCATTTTTTCAAGAAAATTAATGTGATGATGATATATAGTACATAATACATATTGACTTTTTTGGTATTCCATAACTTTATGAACAAAAAAAAGCATAATTATATTTTTTATTCTTGAAGGGGAAAATCTACTCCAATATTCAGCCGTGTAAATAATTCCGATGAATGATTTGACAAAGGAATTAATTGTCCGTCTAATTCAAGGATATACGTCTCACTTTACAAGTTTCATCGTTTGTACTTGCCCCCAGATACCTGTTGTGTTGTCATTTAGAGAGAAAATGATAGTTTTAATCAATGAATGGGTGATCCCGTGTATTTTTTGTGAGTTGTAGATAAATTACTTGCATGCAATGTACACAAAAATATACTGCATTTTTTTGTTCAGGAATTTAGATTAAAATTTTCTTTGTTATTAATAAACACGCACGATCCAAGAATTTTTGGTGTTGTGCGAACAAATTGAATTGTTGTGTACAATTTACTGTTACACGATTATGTTAGAGTTGAGATTTATGCGACATAATTTTACCAACATTGTACCTTCTAGCTTTGGATTTTCTTATTTATTTTAATGCAAACGTGTTATAATTAATATGATAATTTGGTTTTTAATATGGTATTTAATATGGTGAAACAAATTATTTTGTACCACTAAAATTTGTTTCATTTTGTCGTATTTTGTCTCATGTATATTGTACATTCATATATACTATTACATATATTTTATTCAAATTAATCGCGTATATTTTTACCTAATTACTAAATAAGTCACGGAACAAAGTATCTAAATTATTAGAAAGCAAAAAAAAATACTCATTAAATACACCAGTATAATTCGTCAAAATTTGCAAATCTTTCTTTATATGGACGTTTAAAGATTATTGTGTGATCTGAGAACATACAAATTCTGAGGACGAAGTATTTATTTCTGGAGAGGAAAATCATGCATAATTAGTTATTATTAGGCGGAGAAGAACAAATTTACGGAATAAAACCGACCATAATATAAACCAATACAATGGCCAAGAATATGTTGTTATTGTTGTTGTTTATAATGTACAGTACAACAAATAATAAATATTTAAAGATTGTTTTATTTTATTTTGAAAATATTTAATATTTGTTCAATTATTTAACAATCTAATAATGTTGACTCGATTTGTAATTAAAAATATTTGTAGAGTTTATTTATTTATTTGATTTGTTGTTAGAAACTTCTGCTCCGTCAATAAAGAATTTCTTTGTTTTTTATTTTTAGAATTTTTGTTATTATAATGACTACTGTTTTAGCAAACATATATTCATATTCACGTTTACGATTGCTGATTGGATTGCAATTGAAGATAATGATGTCCAAGATAATTGGATTTATCAATTAATAATCGCAATTATTGCTGATGATTGGATCAATAATATTGGGGTCGGAAAAATAATAATTATAAATTTGGCAAGCTTGTTAATTTTTATTTATTATTATTATGTTTGTCCCTGACTAATCTCATGCACTTTCTCACTCACGCGCGCACACACACTTAATTCGAGTCACCGCCCTACTATGATTATTATTGATGTTATTATTATTAATGTTATTGTTGTTATTGTTGTTATCTAGATACTAACATTGTTCAATGTTGTTATCTAATTGAACTTTCGATCAAGAATGTCAAGAAGGCTTTTTGTTTTCAATATTAAGGAGTTAAGACTGCGAGAAGATACACATATAAAGATTCTCTTTTATATGGCGTACAATTTACTTTTTTCACTAAGCCATCATCTCCTGTGTTAAAAAAATAGTACATATATGTATGTGTATGTTTGAGATTAGATTGTATATTTATTATTATTCTAATCAATAAACTTTAAATATAATCATAATATAATTAATTAATAAAACAAGAATGATTAGTCCAAATCTAGATTTATCATATTTGCCAACCTTTTTTTGTTTTTGTGTGAGAATGTGAGTAATAAAACAAAACTTTCAAAAATCTTCGAATTTTATTGGAGGGATCATCATTGTACAATAAACAAATAAATAAAATTTATTATTTTATGCTAATTATAGATAGGGAAGAATGCCAAACAATTAATTAAAAATAGGTTTTAATTTTCCAGTGGGAAAATGAAACTTTTTTTTTAATAAAAAAACATTCAACATCGTACTTTCCCTCTTATCAACAGTAAAAACTGTAGTCTTCTCTATATAGAAACCATTTTCTTTCGAGTCTAGAATGTTTTTTGTCAATCATCACTTGCATTGGTTGTGCAAAAAAAAAAAAAAAAAATGAATGATATCTATCTCTCTCAATGAAATAATAAATAGATTTTTGGGATATAGAAAGGTTTTTTAACGAGAATACACACCAATTAATTATAATTAATTGGTTGATTGGTTGATTTATCTTTTTTTCTTTTATTTATTTATTTATTTTCAAAAAATCGGAAGCCACGCGTATAAATGTCTTCTGGAAAGAAAAGTATTCTAGAAAATTAAAAAAATTACTTTTTTCAATTTTCATTTACTTTTTTACTTTGGAAACGGAGTATATACCTTGTTTTGTTTTTGTTACACAATACCAATATAGTAGATCTGCAATTTTATTTATATCCTTTCTATATTACTTTATTATTTTATTATTAATTTTTTTTATATATATACTTGTGCTCTCAGAAATAATCGTAAGGAAAAAAATTAAAAAATTAATTCGTCAACGCTTTTACCTCTTAATAAAATTCATCGATACATTTTATTTTTTTAATAAAATTATATATTTGAAATTATAAACAAAATCATTTATAAATATTTACATCTAATAAACAAACATGAATAATCGATGTGATAAGATTAGTTATAAATCAACAGCAACACCAAATGTAATAAACATGAATAGTGGGGTCAAAATGCATTATTCGCCACCTTTACTCGTTTCTTCGTCTTCTTCGGAAAGTAGCAGCGATTATGAAGAAGAGGAAGAGGCAGAAGGGATTCCTTTAAGAGAAATTCAAAACGTAAAAAATCAACTAAACCTATTCCCGGTTCCATCCACTCCCGAAAGTTATGTCCAAAAGAATCCTTTCAACGCAACTGACGGACGCGTTAAACGTCCCTCAAATTGCTTTATAATTTTCAGAAAGATAGCCCATGACCAAAAAAAGTCCAACAAACAATTGGAAGTTTATAATGAAAGGGACTTTAGTAAGATATTAGGAATAATTTGGAAAAGCTTAGAAAAACGGCAAGTACAAATGTACAAGACTTTTGCTGATTCCGTAGCAAATCTTCACACCACAAGAAATCCTAATTACAAATATCGCCCGAAAAGAAATCGTGCCGCTTGGAAGCAGTATGTCCCTTATTCGTTGATCGAACACAAAAACTATAAAATAACAGTAAACGATAATCTGGAAAAAGCACCATCGACAGCAGTTTCTTCGGAGGCATTGGCAACAGCACCAATTAATCGCAATAGTTGTATTAATGATAATTATGATCATAATTATAATAACAATATTAATAATTTTAGCAGCAAAAGCACCGGCGGAAGCAGCTACGACGACGACAACAACAACAACGACAACAACAACGACAACAACAACAACAACAGTAATAATCCTTTGTTTAGTGGTATTCCTCACTTTGGACAATTCGGCGCCAATGACAACCACAACTATAACAATTGCGTCAACGATGTTTACTTATATTTAAACTACGAACATAGCAATGACGGTATCAATAACATCGACGATAACAGCAATAATAACTTTGGTTCCTATGTGATCAATTATGGTTATACACCTTATTACGAAACGCCTTATACTTTACGGTCTAACGAAAGCAACAGTAATGTTGGTAATAAAAGTACTCTTTTCAATGAAAACAACAATAATAATATCGAAGATAATTTTATTATTAATACTACCGTCAGTAATAATTTAGATTACAACCTTAGTAATATTATTAATTGGGATTGTAATAATAATCGTTGCTTTGAAAATAGTTTCTTTTCATAGTATTAACTATATCGAAGATGTTAATGCAACATCCTCGAACATTCCACAATTTATATATTTACTCTCGTTATAATAATATAACAACATTTATGATACAGATAATATTACATTTAGCATTTTAAAGTATCCGCAGTAATTATCTTTATTATCTTCATTGTCGTTGTGATCATCGTGTGAACATCGAACATGTGAACATGTGAATGGAAGGACATCATCAAAATAAAAAACATCCAACAACCAACTAACAAATGATGAAACACAACAATCGAAAAACGAAGTCATTTGATAGCAAATTCTTTTTAGAAATAGAATAAATTAATTTTCATTTGTTTCTCGAATTTTTATTTTTATTTTTTATTGTGGCTATTTTTCTCACATGATTAATTAAATTTTTTTTTAAATCTTCTCTTTTTTTTAAATAAATATATCAAGGATAAACGTTGTATTTGAAATTTTTTTTTATTTCTTTTTATAAATATATCGAAGATAGGCATTATGGGTTTTATTGTACGCAGCAATTAATATATTATCTTCTATTTTTGTCTTTTTCTTAATTAAAAAATATTTATAAACAATAAGCATCAGCTGGTCGGTTTTGCCAATGCACGTGAGTGTATTTATTTTTGTTTATTGGATCAATCAGATGATTAATTCGTTGTAAATATGACTGATATGATATGACTGATATTTATTGATACAATCATTTAATCATTTCGTTACTAATTCCTCCGCTATTAGATGGGAAAGATAAAAAAAAAATTAGATTAATTGATTAGAATCAGTTAATTAATTAGAAAATAAATTATAATTGATTGTTAGTGGTAGGTAATAATAGCAAGCAATAATAATAAATCAATAAATTAATATTTTCAACAGATATTATTATTATTAAAAAATATGAATGTAAATATTTCGGATTTTTATTTATTGTTTTACATTTATTATATATAAAAAAGTTTTTTTTATATTACTGTATAAAAAAAAACTTTTTTTAAAAATAAGTAAAAGGCCAGTCAATCACAATTTATTCCTTGTAATATACAAGTATATCAAAAAATAATAAAATGGGCAACAATTTCATGCTAACATAAATATATACATACATTGTGTTAATAACAAGTGGTATTATTATATACACATATATGTTTATAAATATAGCAAATATTACAGTAGTATTGTAATTATATATATATATATACTGTTAAATATCAATAAATAAATTAGAGTACTAAATATATACGGCCTGAAGGGAAATTAAAAACGGATAAATATTTGCTATATTAATAATATTATGTCTTCTTGATATTTACTATCACTTGTGCTACCATTAAGGGACCCAAGTGTAGAAATATTAGTAAAAGTAGAAAAGTAATAAGTAATTTCCTAATTCATTATTTTACCTAATTCATTATTTTTACCTAATTCATTAATAATAAAACAAATTTATACTTTGCCTGATTAAAACATTAGTGTGACCACTAACATATTTTATTCACACGACACGATTGATCAAAATTTTTTAGTGATGATATTCTATAAAGAAGATTCACTTGATTACTTACTTCGCTATTGGAAAATATTTTTATTTTTATATTTTGTTAGCAGCTTATTAAAGGACAATAGTCAATACTAAATATAGCACAAATGTACAACGATTAACCAATAAATTATATAAATTGTAAAATTATAAATGATTACACCTATTACTTACTATCTATAACAATTACTATTTGTAACATTTTGTAAATAATCAAGGGCTGTCCAAATTCGGTAGTGTAACATAGCACTACATAAATTAGCTTCTGCTGCACAAGATCATGCGTTTTATAAAATAAGTATATATAATACTTTTTTTTCCCAATGTTAAATAAATTTTTTTTTTAAAAATCAAGATTAAATAAATTATTTTTCCCTTTAACAACCCAACCCAACATCAGCAACAACAAGAATAATAATAATTATTATAATAATTTTATAATAATAATAATAATAATAATAATAATAATAATAATATAATATAATAAATAATAATATAATAATATAATAATAATATCAAAAAATTTTATATAGAAATAATAGAATAAATACATAATCGTTCACTTTTTATATTTTCATCATTTTTTATCTTTTAAAAAAATGTCAACAATTAATATATCGCCACAAAAACAACCTTTGCCGTTTAGTGAATTAGAAAAAGAATTAAGTCATAATAGAGATTTATTTTATAAACCTTTAGTAAATGCTAGGGACATTGCATTATCCTCAAGGAAAAAAGGATCTCAGAAGGTTAACAGGCCACTAAACAGTTTCATGGTTTATAAAATAAATTTCAACCAAGTAGTTAAATTATATGGTTACTCATGGGGCAAAAATATGAAACATGCGACGCGCTATGCTTCATTTCTTTGGAAGCAAGCAACACCACAAGAAAAAAACATATTCGTAAAAATAGCAGATCAATCGAGAGTAATTCATAAAGAATTAAATCCCGGGTATAACTATTCCCATACTGTCAAAAGATCCTCCAACTTTGTTATGGTCGATTTCTCCAAAAGAAAAAATAGCACTAATAATACTAATAGTAATCAAAAGCTCAAAGAATCAAATCCTACCTGTCCAACAATCGATCCGACAACACCAACAACAGTTGATGATTCTAGTTATGATTCAATGCTACCAGTGTTTCAAACAATACCTTTACCATCACCATCACCATTACCATTGTTCTCATCACTTATGTCACCATTATCCATACCATCGTCATCTCCTGACATGTGTTTACAAACCACGTCTACCTCAACGTACTCACCTAATCCTAATGATTTTTTAACTTTCTATAATAATAATAGTAATTATTATAATGATAATTGTAATAATAATAACTATAATAATAATGATGATAATAATAATTATTATTATAATGATTGTAATAATAATAACTATAACAATAATGATGATGATAATAATAATTATAATAATAATAATGATGGTAATATTATTTATTATAATGATACTTATGATTATATTTACAATAATAACTACATTAACGATAATTATTATAACATTAACAACAACAACATAACATATCCGGAGGCTTATGATAATGTTATCACTTATCCATGTGGAGATTTTAATCTGGATTGTAATGCGTATATGAAAGGTGTTTCTAATCCATTGGAGAATCCGAATGATATTGAAGAGTTATATCGTTACCTGTTATTGCAAAACAAACAAATATAATTTATTATTAGTAGTAATAGACATAACATGGACAATAAAAATATATTAAATAAATTATAAATTATAGTAATATTTAATAATTAATAGTTAGTTAGTTATATAATAATAAATAGTAAGCAATAGTAATAAGAAATAATAATCTTGTTAGTTTACTATTAATTATTTGAACATTTTTTCTTATTCATATATTGTACAAACAAACAAACAAACAACAACATTAAGATTTTCTGGCAACTTTTTTTCGCTTACCAAATTAAGACGATACGTGTATTATATGTTCTTTTATTATTTTAAATTTTTTTTTTACTTTATTATTTTGTATTGACTATTTAATAATAATTAATTAATTAAATTTACTAATAATAATAAATATCAACATGTTAAATCCATCTTTATTGAAAATATATTTATACACAGCCAGCTGGTCCAATTCTTAACTCTGCAGTTACAAATTTGAACAAAAACCTAGCAAGGTGTTACATTAGTATTTGATGAGTGGAAGAATTCCATCAATCAAGCAATTATGATTATATGCCACCTTAACTGTTAATAATTAAACTTGCTATTATTTAATAATTAATATGTGTGGCGGATACAACCAACAACCCTAAACTTTATAAGTGAAAACATGAGAGATAGATAGATGAATAGATGGATAGATGGATACACGAATGAATGTCATTTCCAAAATAACGAGAATTTAGCACTCTGGTGACAGATATTATCTTTGTTACACAAGTATGCAAGTAGGGAAAATCTGTCAACGTTAAAAATGATTCATCCTTCATTTTGTGAATTATTTTATGCATAATCTCATGTTAATACCATATTTTAAATATTATAATTATAAGGGCATTTAAAGGCGGAATTTAATTAGACATTAACATTGTCTAAAATAATGAATATTATTGGGGATTTACCCCAACGTAATCATAATAAATAAATAAAAAAAGAGAAACTTGATTTCAAAACAATACATTTGCATATATAAAGATCCAACCAGGTTTTAATTATCATCCAACTGTAAACAAACAAACATTTTAAAATCGTATTGTAACAACACATATGCATAATAATAACGCACAATTGTATAATGCATATATATGACAAGTATCGGAACAATTTATGGTGTAAAGATCTTTTTACAAAAAATTAAATAACAACAATAACAAAACAACACAACAGCAACAACAACAACAACAATAACACAACAACAAACAACAATAACAACAATTTTTAATTTTAAACGAGCCTGGTAAACTAGCATTTTTATTAGCCTTAAAAAGTAATATAATAAGTGTATATTTATTCATTACATGTAACATGCTGAGATTAAGCCAATAAACTTTTATTATTATTATTTCCTTTATTAAATTACTAAATAATCAACAATAAACTATTGTAATTAATTGATGCATTGTTTTTTTTTTTTTGCTAATTTACTTGTCTTATTTACTTTCCCACACATCATTCATAATAATAAACAATAATAAACAATAATAATAAACCCATTTAAATTTCACAAAATTAATTGATTATAAAAAAATAATTAACCTTTTATTGACAGCGATTACTTTAACGAGATGATGATTATGTATGTGATTATCATACAAAATAATCCCTCCCGAAAAAAGAAAGGAAGAGAAAGAGAAAATTACAAATATTTGCAAATATTTGTAAATATCAAATTTCTTTACCTTTTTGTTTATAAATTTAATTAATTAATTGTTTGTTTGTTTGATTCGCTCATTCTATCTTAAGGGCAGTTGCATATGATCCTGTACAGATATGGTATTAAGTTTTTTATAGATCTTGCTAATAAAGATATTAATTGGTGTGGTAAATCAGGCGATAATATTTCTCATATTGATATTTATTGTATAAGGACAATAAAGGAAAAGATAATATGAGAAGTTTGTGTTCAAGAAGCTATACGCCAAGTTTATGTTAATAAAAATATACAAATCAAAATCAATAATATTTCATGCTGCAATCATAATTAAGATGCATTTGGTTTTGTAATGAAAGTAATAATTTTTATTATTTGAAGAAATTAAACAGACAATAAAAGAAAACATGCTAAAATTGTTTGGGAAATATAGTAAAAGGAAAGTTCCTTCCACTCATACCAGTGTTGTGACCCGAAACTCTGAGTTTAGGGAAGACCCGAAACAGAAACTAACAGAAACTACCTGAAACTAGTTTAGGTTAGTAGTTTATGCTTAGGTTTAGGTTTAGGTTTAGTTTTCTGATTAGTGTAAGTTCATTTTCCTGAAACGTTTCGGGAAGCCAAAAGAGTTTCTGGTCACAACACTGACTCATACCCAATCAACATTAAGTGAATTAGATATTAAACAAAAATAGCCAAGAATATGCATTATTATAAAATATCGAAAAAGATCATATCCATGTATAATAATTACGGTTGCCCAGACAATTTTTAAAAGAGCAAAAATAACTATCCATGTTATCTTCCCAAGATTATAAAATACCTGGTAATTTCATCACGCAACCTATGAAAAAATTATTTCAATTGAATAATCATTATCATTATTATATAAATTTTTTTAATTACATAACCCTTGATAAATGCACTTCCTCCATAAATGCATCTTGTGTCCTGGTCCCAATCTCGGGATTTAGAGGTAAATCCATGCCCTGTATTACTATGTTCTGCACTGCACGATCTTTCCCCAGTCCCACTTCACCCTCTCTAAATGCATACCCGTGACTTCACGTGACCATGTCGTAATATAATTCTTGTGTTACATAATATAACGAACAAATAAAAATTCTTTTATTACAGATCCTTTTTTTTTTAATGGATTATTAGAATAACATAATAAGAGAGGGAGAATACAGGTGACAAAGATTTTATATGTTTTATAGTTAAATTATTATCTATAAAGGTAAAGGAAAAGGCGTACAGATAAAATTAAATAATTTAAATCTAATTATACTTGTTATTTTAAAAAATAAAAATATTTGGTTATCTTCTAATTTGTAAAATATTATTATCAATAAATTAAATTAACATTATACTTGATTATTAAATCATTGTTCGCTGTAATTGTTCTTATGACATTCATATTCTCCAAATAAAATGACTTCAAGTAAAATAACTGCCCGATCGATACCCTAAAATATGGAATTTTGCTTATTTGTCACAAGCAATAAATTGACTAGAAAAGAATATGTAAATTACCTACCGAGCCAATGGTGGATAAGTGCCAATGAAGCTTCAAAAAGTTTAAAATTGATCGTACAAGAAAATTCTAAAAATGCTAATGCTCTTGATAAATTTAGTTTAAAAAAATAAATAAAACTACATGACTTATTAATTAAAAAAATTTTTTTATTAGTGTCACATGCAGTCAATAAAATACTTTTGTCCTATTACTATATATAAAATGCACAGTCTCACTTGGCTGAAAAACCTGACTGTGTGGCGTAATATCAGGTCATACATATTATTATTGCCAAATTTAGACACTAATATGGTACATGGTAATTGCACTAAAAAAGGAACAGAACTCTAGAACAAATAAATTTAGAAAATCAGTGTCTAGACATTCCTATCGTCATAAAGTCGCAAAATCTAGACCTCGAACTATAATGTGATCGATATAATGTATTGTAACACAAAAATATGATGGAGGGAAAAAAGCAATTTCTTTGCATGATGATATTTTTTAAATATTCTAATGTGTGGCGGGGTCAAGTTTTTGGGTATAAACTAGGGATGTCCACCAAAACCGAAAGTGTACCGAAAGTGCTTTCGAACATTTACAAGTTTGAAACCCTCAAACAATGAATACATTTGACTAAAAATTTGCTCATTCTATCAAAAATCATTATCAAATTTTATAATTAATCCTAGTTTTTTTCTAAACTCGACCCTTTTTTTTCTAGCCTATTTTCTAATGATTTTTTCTTATTAATTTTATTATTAACTGGTTTCTTTTCATTTTGGTTTTTATTATCTGCATTACTATCATCGTAATCATAACCACCATCTATATTATTTGTTTCATAATAATTTGTTATATTTTCACAAATAGCAGGTTAAGTTTGGAATCACTTCTATATCAAAAAGTCTTCCTGAAATTGCTTTTCTATTAGGTAGTGTGTAAGCAGGCCCAAGTTGTTCAAGTAACTCGATAAAATATAGATTCTGAATAACATTAAAAGGTATATCACACATTACAAATGCCCTAATTAATGCTCTATTAATATTATCATCCCTTTCTATGGTTAATTTTGTGCTTTCGTAGAATTCAGACAAACTTTGTTGTTCTTGTTTATTAAAAAGAAATTTGACTACTTTCTTTTTTTTTAAGAGTTTTTTTGCAATGACAACCAAATAATAAATTTCTCTATTGCAACCACCACATTCATTTACCAGTTGTTTTTCAAGTAACCTACATCAAAAAACTTGGCACAATAGTAACACTTTGCAGGATAGTGTCCTTTGCTATTTTTAACCTCATAAAGTGTATTCAAACATTCGAAGGAGAACATCCAATAATTTGTGAATTTCCAATTTGATTCTAAAAATAAATGAACATGATATTTAGAATTATGTAATTATGCCAAAACATATTCAAATATAATATAATTAAATAATTGATCTCATTTTTTAATTCAAGTAACTGCCACATAAGATAAAATAATTCCTCTCGTAAAACTTCTTTTACATTATTAATATATGTATCATTGTCAGCGGTCAATAGAAAATAAAAGTAAATTCAATAAATTCATTGTAAATTTTCTTGAATTACAAAAATAATTGGAAAATCGTTCCTGTTGATTAAATGCATGTTTTGCACTCAAATTAAGTCCAATTCGCATCGGGTGTAACTTTCAAAACAACATGGATAATAACTTTATCTTTCAGATAATTTATTTTGTTTATTATTTTTCAATTGTAGTAAAAATTGACTTCAAAATGTCCACGTCTGGTCAAGAAAGACAATGTTAGACTCTATTGCATTTTTGGA